AAAAGAAGCCTTATGTGGTCTCTTGAGGGAGCCTGAAACTCGAGGAGGAACTCTCTCACACAAGGATGACCTAGTGGGAACCTTATACCAGTACTTCGAGCGAACAAAGGAGAAGATAGTCTTTCTCTATGAAAAGTTAGATTTAAGTTAAATAAATTTGTTCAAGGTGGTACGCGACGTCCAACTAGTGGATAGTGAGGAGGTCCCGCCTACTGGTGGGGTTTCTCTAACTGATGACCAAATGATAGAAGGCGTCGTTCGCCCATAGAAAAATTTGGAGGATCCTGGAGCTTAGGGCTTACTTAGTCATGCCTTTAGCATTTTTTATAATGGTGCCCAAAGGGCTTCTGTGACGGTTTTTTCTCTGCATGCCCTTAAAGGCTCTTTAGTACTTTTCCCCTTTAGGGGTTTAATTAAGTTAAGAGCTTTTATACCCATAACTTATTTACATGGCTTACTTCATAATATGGTGTGGCGTTGTCCTGACTTTGTAATGTTGTGGATCCTTTCATGAGGATGATTGTATTACTTTAAGGGCGACAAGGATTCCTATATGAGGATCCAACATGTGTGGTTTTCTCGAGGGGTGACAAAGATTCTTTCGTGATGATCCAACATGTATAATCACTTCACAAGGGAAGTAACGATTCTTGGTAGAATCCATCATATATGGTCGTCTCATAGGGAAGTTTCGATGAAACCTCTTTCGCTTTTCAGTTTCAGTCAAATAAAGCAACAATATTCCCAAATTATATAATAATGTGAGCGGCTTCATTAAAAACCCATGTTCCTCCTTGATAACATAGGTGAAAAGAGTAATCCCTACCAAACAAAAAATGTCATGAATTTAACCTTACAAGCGGAAGATATTGTAACTCACCTAAATAAACCAAAATAGTAAATGCAACTAAAACATGGCTTAACACCTAAATAATTAAAAACTTTTAACAAAGATCTTCTCCAACTGCCTTCGTGCTTTCCTAGAGTGGGGTGGTTAGGTATTTATATTCTGGATTTTTCTCTTGTGACTTGCACTCTAAATTTACGCCTACGTCGTTCACCCCCCCACGGTCCTAGTCTTCTTCAACTTCAGGCTCTCGATGTAACACTTCCTAGAAAGAGCCAGATCTCCCTTAATAACCCTAACTTGCCCCTATAGGAGTGAGAATTTCATGCAAAAATATAGATAGGGTGGCTCCCAACTAGTTGAAAGAAGGTCACCCTATAATCATGTTATAAGGAGAGTGTACCTATGATAAGGTACCTTACCTTAATCTGCCTAGAATTTTCCTCTGCTCCAAAGGTGGTCCTCAGTGTTATATAACCCTTCAATTACACTTATTTTCCATAAAATCCTACCAATGATCCTTGAAAAGCTTTGAGGTCGTATAGATTCAGGCAAAGCCTTTCTAAATCATCCCAATAGAGGATGTTTGTAGACCTTCCTTGATCAATCAGTACCCTTGTAATCTCACAATCATCAAACTTTATAGTAATGACCATGGGGTTGTTGTTGTGAGGATGTATGCTTGTAGCATTCTTCTTAGAAAAGGTGATATCAAATTTTAGGGCTTCTGACTCGTCCGCATTATAATAGGTGGACGATTCATTGATGGTTAGGATTTGGGGAGCGTATCTTCTGCGGGAGAAACTAGTCTCTTCGTCCCCAATGAATCTTCTTGTGGCCTCTTAACCAAGGAAGATGTGGCCTCTGGGCGAGGGATTCATTAAAATGTCCCTCTTTGAGACCACTTTGAAATGCTTCCACAAACATTTCTTGGTTTAGGTTAATGACCTTGATCACCGCCCCCACTTAAGTGGGCAAGGTGCTCCCTTAGAGATTTATAGGGGTCTTGACAAATTTGGAAAAGGTTGGTGCCAGACATCTTTTCTGCTTGTTTCTTGAAAACTAGTGGACTAGCTTCTTCATCCAATCTTGATAGGTGGTGATAGAGAGTCGAGGCATGGCCATATACCACCTCAGGGTCTCTTCTTTATAGGATCCATAGAGAAGTTTGCATTACAAGCAATCAGGAGTTCAAATGATTGACATTTGCATGTTAATGGAGGTGATATGTTCATACGGGTCGTTGCACCCATTAAACTTAGCCAACGAATGCGACTTAAAATTCTATGGAATTGAAACCTCTCATATTTCATATGAGAGAGGTTGTAGTCCACTATATCCACCTCTTCTATAGGGCTCACCTCCTTCCGACGTTGTTGGATATGAAAGATATTATCCTCCAAAGTTTGGTTCTAGCGACGTAGGTCGTCCATGGCAGAATGCCTCTTTTCCATGGTGCTTTTCTTGTCGTCGGACTCATCATTATCCGAAGTTGTTACCTTTTTGTTCACCGTGATGGACAACGAGGTTGAACGCAAGGACAACAATCTGGGTGGATCTTGCAATGGTGGCCCATATCAGTTTTGTTAGGGCCGCACAATGGGCGCCAATTATACTTGATAAAAGTACAATACATGACAATCCCTAATGATAAAGGAATGTCCTAAACTTTTAGGGTTTGTTGTAAGGATTAGAGCTAGCTCACACAGGGAGGTGAGAAGCTCTGTATATGTGGTATTGCGTATATGAGACTGAATCCTTCTAAACCTCGGGGTTGAGGTATCTATAGAAGTCCTTGGGCCTGAATTTCAAGTTCCTAGGAAATAACAACAACTTCAAGGAGTGTGGGGATGAGGCATTCAGTTCTATATTATTCAGGACAATGTGATATATTCCTCCTTGACTCCCACTCTACATTGTCTTGTACTGGGATGTGTCACTTCAACATTTCTCTTAGAAAGCGACTGATTTGAGAAATGGACGCCCTATCAAAATGATGGGTGTTCGAATTAATAAACTAACGATCACGAAGTTATTTAGGCGATACGTTACACCTTTCCCCTCTCACTTCGCCCCTTTAGAGCCCTTGTAAATATATCAATACACATTGACTTATCTGAACTTACTTATTAACATAAGTTTTACGAGACTATTTGTTTTTGAATACTTATTAAACAATTTATGATATTATTCATAAATAAAAAATTCAACTTATTTTCATAAATTTTTCAAAATAATTAAACTTTATTTTTATATTCTAATTTAAAGAACAAAATTTAATATAATAATAATAATAAATTTATTCATATTTATTTAAATATATCAATCAGATAGTATTAAAAAAAATAATGATTTAGAGTTTAGTCTTAATTAAATAAATAAATAAATTTTATTAGATAATCTGTTTTATTTTTATCCGTACTCCTTATCTCTCTACTTAATTTTCCTTTTATTTTTATGTTTTGATTGAGGAACCAAAAATATTTTTTTAAACATTTAAATAGGTTAAAGAAAAATTCTAATGACTATACCCAAAACCCATATAAAAATCTAAATTGCATATCAAATTAGTCATTGATACAAAATACATGAGTGATGCAGACTAAAATATTTTAAAAATATCTGCCTAAAATAACTTATTTGATCAATAATTAACTCTTTAAAGACTAGATTAATTTTCTATATTTTTTAATCAAGGAAATATTTTATTATAGTTTTTTGTAGTACCAATTTAGAATATTTTTTTTTAGCAGTAAAAACTAAAAAGTAAAACCAAACAGTCCTAAACTTGAACAAAAAATGAATGAAAAATGAATATAAGATAGATTATTTGACCTCGTGTGCGAAGTTCATAACAAGCAAGACGAAGACGATCTTCCTCAACCAAACCACAAGTTCCTCCACGTTCTTCACAACTTCCACAATCTGGATTATCCCACTGCAACGCTATATTAGAGTAATAACCATTCCAGAACAACCAATTCGTGTCTTCAACAGGTACCATAGCCGACGTAATAAACTCACACAAAGCTACCCATGGAGTAGCAAACGGAGTTTCATCAGATCTCATAGCCACCACCGGGTAATCAAGGTTCAAACAACTGATGGGACGTAACATAGATGAGACAGTTGAATTCGAGGGACATTTTAGGAACGAAACGTTAACGAAAGTGTAATAGTCACTTAACCGAAACGGTGAATCTTTAAGGTTTGACATGAAACCATGATGCTTGTCGGACATGAAACGTTTGGGAAGACACTTGTTGGGATCGTTGACCCAAACTGTCTGGTCAATGAAAGATATGTGTTTCACAACAAAGGTTTCGGAGTTGGGAAGAGTGAGTAGTGGTTCACTCAAGGTGGTGGTGTTGCTACATGTGAGTTCGAAACCGGGGTAACTACATAGATTGGTTTGATTTGGTTGGTTTGTTGAAAACGGGAACCGGATTTGAAGTCCAAAGGTTTCGCATGATGATGTTCCACATGTGGAATCTTCACTTTGTGTTTTACATAATGATACGAGGATGATTAAGAAAATTAAATATGGGAAAGTGGTCATTTTTTATATAGAGTTTTTTGTTCTGGTTTTAATGGATGAAGAATTCATATGGTTGCAAGTTGCAACAAAAAACGGTTTGGCTATGCCTTGAGAGAGGAAGCGTTGCTAAAAAGTCTTGACATCAACTTCACCCAAAACAACAAAACAAACACTAAATCCAAAAATATATATTTGATGATTTGTTTGGCAATTTCTCTCTTTTTTCAACGAATGTACTCATCTGTCTCTGGTCTTTAATTAAATTGTATACTATGATTCTCTAGAAACTTTGATGTGCATGACATTTTCTTAGCTTTGCGCGTTTAATGATAAGTTTTGAAAATGTCCTACTAATTGAAGTTGGTTTTACGGTCAAAATAGATTTAAACAATGTTCAAAGGTTTAGTTTTCAAAAAAAATAAATAGTAGTAGTAAAATGATGATTGAATTTACAGAAAGTGAAAGTAAAAGAATTGTAGAGGAAAATATTAAAATGTAAATGATTTAGAGAAAAGTGCACCTTTAATCCTATTTTAAACTGTTGGATTTAAAATAGCACATTAAAGAATACATATCATAAAAATAGGTTAGTCGGACTATTAAAAATTTGTCCAATAGTATTGAGAGTTCCTCAAGTATAAAAGCTCTACCAAATATCAAGAGTTCGGCCAAAAGGAACATTAAGATTAAGACTATTACGAGTTAGGCCAAAACCATCAAGAGCTCGATCAAGAGCTTATCCAATAATATTAAGAGCTTGCTTGGGAAGCAAGAGCTCACCCAACTATTAAGAGCTTGTCTAAGACTATTAAGAGTTCACTCAAGAGTAACAAGATCTCGTTCAAGTAGCAAGAGCTCACCATCATTATTCTTTGGACCAACTTGACCCTTAATATTGAAGCTAACTCAACTAAATTAAGCTTGACTTAAAGGGATAAGAAGCGTCCATTAAAAGAAATTTATTATATATACAAATCATTCAACGTAGATTATGAGCCTTGATGGACCAAGACCATGCAAGGGAGAATGAGCATTGATGTTCATTAATTAGCTTTAAGTACGTGGAATATTCATAGTTGTATACATACCAATAGTAGTGGAAGGAGTTAAAGAAGACACCAAAATTTAGACAAATAAGACCTTATTTCCCCTTGCTAGTAATGTTACGACTAAGCTTCACTAGTCTCACACCAGTGAGGTGAAAATGATGTGCTCTTTGCGAGTGTAGAAAGTAATGAAGTTCAAAGAAAATTCTTTAGAAGTTAAATTTGGTCAAAATATAGAGCTTAAGATACTGGAGTATACTTAAGTTTATAAAAATTTGAGTTTGTTTCTAGTATGAGTAGGCCTCCAAATTTAAGTATCCAACCATTTGTTATTTGTGAGAACTTTAATTTATAGGGAAAGAAAACTAAGAATATAACACTTCAATGATAGACCACTGTTCCTGATAAAACACTTTTTGGATAACCTCCCGGAAGCTAGTCAAGTGAGGTCGCAACTGTATAGAAATGTGTTGAGCAGTTTCTTGTTATTAGTGTATGTTCCTCTATTTTCCCATGTCTTCTCCTTTGCCTCGGTGGACTTTATATACCCTATGTTCCAACCCCATGGGCTATAATGAGTTTCCCCTTTGATTCTCATGCTTAAATGTTTGAGATAATGTTTATCGTCACCATAACTATCGTCAATCATATCCTGCAACAACTTCTCAATAAATTCTGTAACCTTCATACGACCATAGAGTTGCCTCTAACCGTTACATTGAGCTACCCACTCGGATATCTGGCGTGGACCAAGAAAAGAACCATATGGGCGCGGCTCCGGGCTCTTGAGTCTGGCCTATACCCAAGGGAGATAATTGGGATCCTGCCCATGGGTGATAACTCGACCTTTGGTCGAAACATTCATGTATTTATGGTTTCTCCATCTCGTCTAACAATGAGAGAAATTTCTCGGCTGAGATAAAATTTTGGGATGTACATAAGTCCCTCGAGCATAAAGCCTGAAAGGATGAAATGTTTGGACAAAGAATCCCGGAACACATCCTTATGCCCTAACTCGACTTTGATCCATCCAGAGGCTACTCATGGTCCCCGACTTGCTGACACGTGGTGTCGTATTTTACCAGTATTAATTATGAATATCTCATGAGATCTCTTCTCTCTCTTCGTCATGATGGATTTTTATGGGGAAATTAATGCCATTATGACCATTCAACAATATAGCTTCACCTAGTCGTTTCAAACCCCCTACCTAGATAAAACCTTAACATTGCATTCCATGTCCTTCATACTTGAACTTTCCTTGCTTTCTAGAAGTTGCTCTCGAAGTCACACACTTCTACTAGTTGTTGCAAAACATTTTCTGGTACTATTTCTTACCCTACTTACTTTTTACTGAATCTTTTTAGAATGATTATAATACATGAGTGTGACAATATGGGGAACATATTTATTCCCCGAAATGCACAATAGAAAAGAGATTTTTAGGATTCATGAATGAAAGAATGCAAATACCACTTAGGGCAAGTTGAGTTTGATAAGATCGTCAAGGAAGTTTATGGTGATATTTTTTCCTCTTTTAGTGAAACTGATTTAGAATCCTCATCATCTAGCTATGTGGAAATAGTGATGAATATGGTTGGATCCTCTATTGACCAAGAAATTTAAACTATGATCTTAGAACGATTGATGTCAAATACATTTGCAAACTTTGATCTGAAAAGAATATCTCTTCTACTGGTAAGAAGAAGACGTCATACTGGAACCTTGTATTCAAGGTGAACAGGTTTCTATGACTCGACTACAAAGAGTATCAGATGAATACTTCTATTTATATTATGGGGTGCTTGAGGATTTCAAGATCCATATCTATTTCATCGATTGTGAATCTGATCTTCTCAAAACCCTAAATATCGCACCATCTCAACTTTGCCCCAACGGTTGGGGTTTTATAAAAGCTTTTGAAATTGTATGTGAGGTTGTGGTCATAATTCCCACTTTGGGTTTGATCTTTTCCTTCTTGGAACTGAAGGGAGTCGACAAGGGAGGATGGATTTCCCTTAATAGACTCCCAAGAAAAAGTTTCCTCAAAGGTTATACAACTAACTATAAAAGGTTCAAAGATAAATTTCTTCGTGTTAAAGGTGGGAACAGATGTCCCCAGGTGATGTATGTGTTGGATGGAAACCATCTCTTTTCCACTTAATGGACAGATAGCCATGTACATGTGTCCGGATTTGATTATGATAAATTAGACGCTTTGGAGGTCCATACCTTGGCCATATTAGATGCTTTCCAGATGATAAAGGTCCGGGATTTAATGGGCATGGTTGAAGATCCATAAGAAATCTCTAATTTTTGGGTAATACTTATATGTCTTAGCATATTTTATTTATTTATCTATATCGATCTACCGAGTCCTTTCTGTAACACCCCAAATTAATTAAGAATATTTATTTAATTGATTATATGATGAGTATTTGCGAACATATGATGTTTTGTTGAATTATGACGCATGATGTGATTATGTGTGAATTATTGATGAATTGATGTGTGACGTATGTGTGGTGTGAGGTGGGATAGTATCGATTGAGATAGAAATTAGAATAATATAATAATTTAGATAATTAGTATAATTATTTAGAATTACTAATTAGAATTATTATTATTTAAAATTAAATTAAATTAAATAATTGGAGTATAGATGTTAAGGTTTATTAGTCATGTTATGTGGAGTAAGTGAGGGCAAGAGTGGAGTAACATATTAGGGGTCCAATGGGTAAGTTGGACAAAAAGGAAAAAGAGAGAGTTAGTGTTTCATTCGATACACTCTAGGTGTAACACCCCAATTTTATTAATTAGTTATATATTTTATTAATTAGTTATTTGTTTGATTTTGTGAGTAAATGATTTAATTTAAATTATTTGATGTATGTTATATGTGATGGGTTAGTCGGGGTGAGATTGTAGAACCGTTGAGTTATCGTTAGGAAATGATGTTGGTAGTGAAGGAATTATTTAATTAGTAAGGATTGTAGAGAAATAGTGGAATAATGGCAATTTATCCTAATATGTGAGAATGTGAAGAGTTAGTGGGGGTGTGGATAGTGAGCCTATTAGCTTGGTTGTTGGGTTAGAATTATTTTGTTTAGGGTTGATAAAAAGAGAACATAAGGTTAGTAAAGGGAAAAGAGGAAAAAGATATAAACTAGAGACAAAGGAAAAAGGATAAAAGATGAGAAGAAGAACCCTAAGGAGAAACTCAAGAGTTCATCAAGAAATCAAGGTAAGGGTGGGTTTTTATATTGTTATGGAAACTGTATGATGGGTAGATTCATGTTTAGGATGAAATCCCTAAATTCCCATGGTTTTGAAATTGTTAGATTTTGATGAGAAATCCTTGAATATGATGAGTAATGGTGTTGTGATGTTTCTATTTGAAAATGCATGTTATATATAGGTTATAATACCTTAAACCGTAGCAATTGGATGTCAAAAAATGTGTTTTAGGGGTTAAAATCGCACATGGAACATTGTTGTCATCGCATGAATTTTTCTGCGAATCATAGAGTTCGCTTAGCGAAATAAGCTTGTTTAGCGAAAGTCACCTGGGAGTCAAAGTTCTCTTAGCGAAAGTCACCTGGACAACAACTTTGTAAATTTTCAAAAGTTCATAACTTTCAAGTTGTAGCTCTGTTTAGGTCACCGTTCAAAGTGTTAGGAAGATAGTGCCATAGTATTTTCAATAAAAATGGTCTTGTTATCCATAGGTGATTTAATCATTATGTGGTTGTGTACAATGACTTATATTTGTATGTTGTTTGGTTTGTGATTTAGTTGTATTGTAATGATACTTTATACATTTCTTGCTATGTGTTGTTATGATATTTTGGAGCAGTGATGTTATGAATATGAATTGTATGTGGATAGCTCATAAATAGGTGCATGTATGTGTAATTGTATGGTAATTCAATTATGGTGAATTATTGAAGATATGCATGGATGTTAATATTGAGG